GCCGCCGCTGCGGCGGCTTCATGCCGGATAGAGAGGCGTCGGCGCGCTAGTGAGGCTTCCCCCGGTGGGCGGGACTACGGGGGCCGCCGAGGCCAGAAAGCGCCACGCGAGGCGGATGCCGATGGGGGCGTGGCCTCGCGTTTGCAGGCCGAAGGGAGCCGCCTCTGTGGAAATGAGAGACTGGCACCGCAACTGAGGCGGGGGCGAACGAGACCCTCGTTTGATCTCGTTTATAAACTGGGGCCGTCATCTTGGCTCTCGTGCTGTCCCTCCAGTGCTGGAGTAACTCATGAAACTCCTAATGTGTGCTTTGCTTCTCTCAGAGGGTGGGCCCTGGCCTGAAAGCAGCTGTCCAGCTGCTGCCAAAAGCCTGGACTGAGGGATCGGACAGCCCTGGGGACTCTGGGCAAGTGATTTAGCCTTGCCGAGCCTCAGTTTCGTCATCTGTAAACTGGGGCTAGGAGTTCCACTCTTGTCTATGCGCAGGGAAGGGAGGAGCTCGGCCAGGAGAGACTTAAGGAGACTGGGACAGAGGCCGAGGCCTGAGCGAGGGCGGGCTCAGGGCTGTGAGAGTCGAGAATGGGGAAGGGCCAGGTTGGGGGAGATCGCAGGAGGCAGGTGGGCTAGGGGAGACGGGGCTTATTTTAAACCTAAGCTGGCTGGGTTGGGTGTCGCTTTCTGTTTGGGACAAAATGCCCTTGAGTCTCTCCTGGCCCAATTGTGCACACTTGTCTAAGGGCGTATGAGCCCCCCACCCCAAGTCCCACACCTCCAGTTGGGACCTCTCCCAACCCGGAATCCCCTGGAGTCCTGGTCCCAGGCCCCGTCCCCAGCCTCCCCTTCCTGCTTCCACCCCCACGCATACACACTGACTCCACCAGGACTCAGCCAGTCGGTCCAGAGGTTTATTTTCAGCCCAGGAGGGAGGATGGAGGGTGGGGGGGTTGGGGAGAAAGGAGAAGCTCAGAGGTCGTGGTCCCACCGGGTCCGAGGTCCAGGGCAGAACGTCGGGTCCTGACGGGCCTGGTCCCGATGCTGTGTTTGGGTGCATCTCGGACCTTGCAGGGGGCGCGTCATCCCTGGGGAGGGGCGGACGAAGCTGAACGAGGGAGAGGACACTACGCTGGCCACCCCCTTCCCAGCAGACCAACGTCCTCTTCCAACAGTTTGTGTGCCGGGGTAAGAGTGGGAACTGCGTCTGATTTGGAACTCTCTTCTCCTAGTGTCTGTCCAAGGTTTGAGGACCCCTCTCTGGACCCAGAGCCCGCAGCCTGCCGCGGGTGACCCACTGGCTGAGTTCGAATTTCAGCTCCCCAAAATTTGTGACCTTGGACAAGTTACTTAACTTCAGAGAGTGCTTCATTTTGCTTGTCTCTAAAATGGGATTGGTATCTACCTGAAGGTTGTTATGAGGATTAAATTAGTTAATATGGGTAAACATTTGGAACAGTGCTATGGCGCAGAGTAACTTTGCGTAGAGTAGTGCTATGATGTCATTGTCGTCACCTCCCTCCTCCAGCTCTTCCTCCCCCCATGCTTACCTGCTTTACTGGGGCCTCCTGGGCTGGGGGCCGCCGGGCGAGGCTCTCGGGGGCGGCCCGGGGGGCGGGGGCGCTGGAAGGGAGAGTCGGGCGGCTGCAATAGGGGTTGCGCGCGCTGCGCCAGGGTAAGGGCGCCCCCTGGGGGCTTCTGCGGACGTAGCGGAAGCAGGTCTAGGGATGGTCAGGCCCCGCAGACACGATCGCCGCGACCCCGGGTCCCGACGCACGGGCGTAGGCTGTGGGCCCGGTGGAGGTCTCGGCAGGACGGAGGTCGTTACCTGAGTGCGCGCAAACGAGGCAGAGCCCGGCGGCCAACGCAGCGCCCAGCACGAAGGCGGCCACCACCAGCGCCACCACTGGCGCAGGCTCCAGGGCCACGGGCGCCGGCGCGGGAGGCTCGGGGCGCACAGCCCTGCCCGGAACGCTCTTGGGTGGCCCTGTGGGGAGTGCAACGCTGAAACGGGGCCCGGGAACCAGGTGTCCTCCTCACCCCCCTTCCCCGGTCCCAGGGCCCTCTACAGGAGGGGACTGAGCGCTCACGGGGGGGCGGCCGTGGCACGGTGACCACAATGGGCTGCGTCAGCGTGTGCAGGTGGGAGCTGTCGCCACCCAGGCTCTCGCCACTGTCACTGCTGGCGCCCGCGCAGGCTTCATCCTGAGGCAGACACTGGGGGGAGGGGGAGGGAAAAGACGCATAGGTCAAGGCTCTGGGATTCCGGATCTAGTCCCCAGGGCCCCCAGGAGATCTAAGCCTCCAGCCCTCCACCGCAGCCAGAAGGCTACCACTGAATCCCTGGGAATCTGGCCCCTTAGGAGTCTCTGAGCTCAGCCCCAAAGTGTACAAGTGGCTAGCTGCCCAGCCCCTGAGGACCCCAAGTGTCAGCTCGTCAAGGAGGTCATACGATCGCACTCTCAGCACCTAACTTGCGAACCAACATTAGATGCCCAGAGATTTGGCCCCTTGGCAGCTTTCTGCATCCATTCTCTCGACCCAGGGGGGTTTCAGAGCCCCGCCCATAGGATCCCAGCGCTCTGTCCAGGAGGGAACCCAGTGTCCACTCCCTGTCCTCTTAGGAAGCTTGCTCAGAGCCCTACGGGCCCCTGGGGGTCCCTGCTCCTAACCAGCAGTCTGAGAGAGACCCAGCGTTTACCCCCAGCCCCGACGGACCCCTGCCCCCAGATCCCAAAGCGCCCCAACCCCCAGATCCTTAAACCCTGAGAGTCTTCTCCCTCAGCTGCCAGAGACGCTCGTGCCCAGCTCTCGAGGGGATCCCGGCGCCCAGATTCCCGGCTCTGCACTCGCGCACCCGCGATGGTGGCGTCAGAGGCGCTGGAGTCCGGAGGGCTCCCCGGAGGCGGCGACAGCGGCTCAGCTGGCAGTGCAGGAACTGCACCGAGGCGTTGAAGACAGGGCGCAGGCGGAAGCTGAAGCGCGCGAGGCCGGCAGCGCTGCTGGGGAGCGGCGGCGGGAAGGCGACCGAGGGGTCTGCGGGGCATCCCCCACGCAGCAGCGCCAGGGCGGGCCCCGGGGCCAGGCGTGAGGACGGCGTCACTGAGCAGCGGTGCAGGGCCAGGCCCCAGCGCGGGGAGGGGCGGGCCAAGGCCGCCTGGGGAACAGAGGCGCCATCAGCATCGCCCGCCCCGCCTGTCCCTACCACGCCCGGTGTTCCCGTGTCCGCACCTGCACGAACACGCGGCTGTCGGCCGGGACCTCGAGCGGCCCCGCGCGGCGTGGGAAGGCGTCCTCTGCGTCCGACAGCTCCAGACGGAAAAGAGGCCTGCGCAGCCAGGGGCCCGGCGCCACGGGGAATGGGGGCACTGCCGGGGTGGGAAAGGGCGGCACAGAGGAGGGAGGACGCGCTGCCTCTTAAGCCCTGCGGGAAAGTGACCCGAGCTCCTCGCCCCTCCTTTGGAAAAGGGATGCGGCGGTGGTGGCGGCTCCACCCATGCTCAGCTCTGTACCACGTTCTCCTTGAGCGGGACAGTTACTATGTCGTGCCCCCAGAAGACCCTGGATGTCACATCCCAGCCTCTGAGGCCATGCGCAAAGCTGGCCACCCTGGAGAGGAGCCTTCCTTCCCTGACCTCCAAAGTGGGCGGGAAAATCCCTGGGGCAAAAGGGTCATGGAGGCCCGGTGGACAGTCGGGTGGTGCGGTCAGAGGTCTATCCCCTTCATCCCAGCTGCTCCCCTTTCTCAGGAGAGGCCGGCGCTGTGGTCAAAGGGGAAGGGGGAAGAGGGAGGGTGCCCTCCATGAGGCTCTTCTGGGCACAGCCAAAGCCCAGCCAGGCCACCAGGCGCTTGCGTCTGTCCAGGCTCTGCACTCCCAGGCTGAGGGCAGTGGCAGTAAAGGGTGGGGGACTTCCATCCTCTGTGGCCACACATGCGTGACACACATGCACACTGCCTGGCGGACATGATGCTGTCTGCCTTCAGGAGGCGTTCAGCCGAAGTCCTTGTCAAATTGATGACCTCAAGCACTCAGGGTTGCCTGCACACCCATTTCCAAAAAACATTCACAGACTGCCCCACTCGCACAGCCTGACCCTGCCCATGGCTGCTGGGGACCTTGAGGAAGTGCAAGCTGCAAGCCAACCCAGGGACCAGGGACAGAGGCAGACTCCACCCTACTCTGGTGCCCTGAAGTGGGGTGGACGAGAGGTCAAGTTGAGAAAGCACGACACAGGGATGACAGTGTGATGGGAACAGGGTACCCCAGCCCATACATACCAGGTGGCCCACTGGGTAAGGTGGAGGTGTCCGGGAGTAGGGCCAGTAGCAGGAGTGTGGCACCCAGCATGCTGGACTGGCTGAGGTCAGGGTGCTCAGGGCCAGTAGCAAAGGCACCAGCCCTGGCTGCTTCCAGGCCCGACAAGTGGGCAGGTGGCCCTGTCCTTGGCTGGGCGGCCACCCCGGGAGAGATGGAGCGGGGGTGGTGGGTGGAGGGGCTGACATCAGAGCCCATGCCCAAGGCCTGCCGGGGATTAAGGGCTCCTCTCCTGCCCGACCTGTGGCTAATGGGGGGGCAGGGGGTACCTTACACTAGCAGCTTGTGACAAATGCCACCCTCCTCGTTCCCTCCCCGCCTAAATTTCCCCTCGATGCGGACGTCTCATCCACCACAGCAGCATTCCTCCTCCAGTCCCTTCCCACCCCTCCCTGCCAAGCTCACAACACACCACAGACTTGATGGAAGAAAAGGGAGGAGTTTTATTCTCAAGCGTCTAAGGATTTACAAACGAGGGCATTTTGTTTTAAAAAGGGACGGGGCAATACTGGCAGCCTGAGAGTCCCTGGGCCAGTGGGCTGGGCCAGGCCACCCCAGGCCCCTGTCTGCCCGGTCTGCCCTCTGCCTGGTCAAGAGGGATGGCTGGTGACAGAGGGGGAGGTCTTGGGAGATGCAGGGAAGTAGGAGAGACTCCCCCAGGGCTCCCACTTAACACTGAAGGAGGGGGGCGGACACACTCACAAAACAGAAAATAAAGTTAAATAAAAATAAAACCAGGCGGCCCACCCTCGGGCCTTTGCTGACCCTGGGACCAGCCAAGTGACCTTCCAGACACCCACAAAGGCCCCCATGGCTGGGCCCAGTGAGGGAGGGAGGGGGCCAGGCCCACTGGCCACCCACCCTACCCCCATCCCCTCACAAAGGGGATCAGGGGCAAGAGAAGGTGGCCTCCCCCAGGAGCAGAGAGAAGATGACTTCTATTACTTATTAAACATGCGGCGTTTTGTGAATATCATAACAATAATGAGATCAGGACAACAGGTAAGAAGGGACAGCGACGCCTAAGCCTACATTGCTTCAGGTGCATCCAGCGAGCTTCCTCACCTTTGGCGTTGGTTGGTTTTTGTGGTTTTATGGGGTTTTCTTTTTTTTCCTTTTTTTCTTCTTTTTTTGTTTTTGTTATTTTGTTTTCTTGTCCACTTGATGTGCATGCATTACCAACAAAAAGGAAACACACCCCCTCCTGCTCTGGCCGCTGCTGCAGCGGGCTCCAAGGGACACCTGGGCCTGGGCCCTGGGGTGGGCGCCTGGTCCTTCCCAGCCCAGGCCTCAGGGTGGGCTGGGGGCTGGCCAGCTCTGGGTGAGTCAAAGGACGCTCAGGGCACAATGGGGGAGCCACCTTGCATTCCCATGCCTCAGCCTAGCCTCCCCTTTCACTTGAGCCACCGTCACACATACTCAAACCCCTACATCCACTCCCTGCACCTTCAAACCGATCCCCTCCAGACGCCCTCTCTCGGCTCCACGGCCCCGATCCTGCCATCGATCCCCTCCCGACACCTCCCTGCTGCAAGCTGCTCTCTACCACGCCCACGCCACTTTCCCTGAAGGCCATCCTATGTGGCCATGGCCCCTCCCTCGGGCTCCCTCTGTGCCCCCTGAGGTCTTCAACTCACCCCCAAGCTGTGGCCAGTCTCCAGCCCCAAGGGCTAACCCCTAGGGAGGAGGAGCTCCCTGGAGCCCACCTCTGGGCTGTTAAGGAGAAGCGGCCCAGGCCCCCACGGCTCGGGCCCCCAGCCCCAGCTCCCCCAGTGCCCGCAGGCAGTCAGGGGCCCCACCACAAGCAGCTAAACGTGACTTTGGTAAAAGTTTCTGAAGGTACCGACAAATCCCATGAGAACAAGCTCTCCTCCTCCCCCCACCCCTAAACACCCCACCAAGTACAATAAAATACAATAAACTCCAAAAAAGACCCCCTGAGATCAAAAAGAGAGAGAGAGAGAGAGAGAGAGAAACCAGCCCCGGTCTGGCTGCAGTCGCAATGCCCACACTGCCTTGCTGGGGCGAGGATGCCAGCGACCAACTTGGCGCTCCACAGAGACCTAAGTGGACCCAGGGGTCCCGCCAGGGGGTGGCTGAGTCCAGGCTTAGGCCAGGAGAGAGGCAGAGGCAGGGAGGGAGACAGGGAGAGCCAGATTGGGACAGAGAGGTAGAAGGGGGAGACAGAAGGAGACAAGAACAGCATGTGCGTGGGGACAGGCAAGGGGACAGCACGCTGGGCGTGTGGGGGATGCAGGACAGGGGGCTCTCTCCCAGCCCCTGGGGGCCGCTCCAGCCCAGAGGTTACGACTGAATAAATAGCGAGTCCACTTGCGGCCTGCTGTCTTCCATTCACAGTGTCTGTCAGGGGGACATGTGCGGCCGGCTGACCCCGGGGCAGGAAGGGCTAGGGCCTGGTGGGCCCGTGTGTCCACGGCTGGTGGGCAGGGAGTTGGGGGTGATAGGCACCCCCTACTTTCTGTCTGCAGCCCTCGGTGGCCATCCAGGTCCCAGGTCTCCCCTGGCAGGCAGCTGGGTGGCCGGGTGGGGAAGGGGGACCTATGGCCATGCCCCTGGGCCCGTGGGGCTGGCCGCCGCCACGCGGCTACCTGAAGAAGGGCAGATGGTGTTGGCTCAGGACTCCACTAGTCCGCGGAGACTCGGTCTTCGCCATGACGTCTTTGAACCAGGACGCCACGTCTACCTCGAGTGTCTCATAGCGCTTGATGAAGCTGTGTTCCTGCGGGCCCAAGGAGCGGGGCTCAGGATGAGAAGTCTTCCTTACAGGCCTCATGCTGAGGCCCTGGGGCTTCCCCATGGAAGGGACAGGGACCGGGAGGGGCTCCAGGTACTCACAAGTAGCTTATTATACTTTGGTCTCTTCCTGTGATCTTTAGTAAGGCTGGAGGGAGAGGTGGAAGGACAGAGATGAGAGCCGGGGAGGAGAAGCCTGGTGTCCCTATGCTCAGGCCCTCCTGGGTGAGCCAGGGGTCTTGAAGATCTGTGGCAAGCAGCTGCAGATGTCCTCAGACGCCCTGCTGACAGCTGGAACCTGCCCAGCTGTGTATCCCTGAAGTCTCCTGGCCCAGGGTGGTGTGGTGAGGGCCGGGGATGTAAGGTTCCCAAATCGGAGGTGGCTGGGGCCCCCCAGGGAGAATGGACCATGGACCTCCTGCACATACAACTCTGCGTGCCGTCCCAGAACGCTCAGAGGTGCTAGCACTGGGACAGCACTGCCTGTTCACCACCTCCCCTGGCGAAGCCCAAGGGCCACCCGGCCCAACGCCCACAGGGACAGCTGTCCCCTCAGGCTGGGTCCAAACCCCACTCCCATGGCACCAGCTCCAGCTCCTTCCTGTCTGTGGCCCCCAACCATGGCCCCCATAGCTGCCACCCTCCCCTCCTGCCCCAACCCTCCCCAGCTGCCCAGAGCGACAGGCCCCACATGACCTCCCCAGCCTCCCAGTGCGGAGAGGATGGGGCAGGGCAAGGATTCTCACCAGTCTTTGACGAAGGACTGGAAGTCCCCCGAGAAGCCCATGTGGCCAGGCAGGAGCGGGGGCTCTTCCTGTAGGACTTTGGTGAGGACCTCAAAGTCTGTCTTGCAGTTCTTATAGGGAAACTGTCCCGTTGCCAGCTCCACCTGGGAGAGAGACGGGCAGGGCTGCACTGCTGGCAACAAACTCATGCCCCCCTCCATCCCTCCACACCCCCAGAAGACCTCACTCCCCTCCCCCTAAGATTGGATGCAGGCCCCCAACTCACCAAGGAGATGCCTAGGCTCCACACGTCAGCCCGGATGTCGTAGTCGGGCTTGGTGGGGTCCGGGGGGTCGATGCGCTCAGGCTGGGGGAGAGGGGGCAGAAAGGGAGGGTGCACGTGAGGCTGGGGGCCGGCCTCCCAGCCCCCACCCCGCCTGCTGGCCCCCACTCACCGCCATGTAGGCGGCGCAGCCTGCGCTCCGCGTTTTCGCCTTCGAGTCGACCAGGCGGCCGCTGATGCCAAAGTCGCAGAGTTTGATCTGGCCCCGCTCGTCCAGCAGGATGTTGGAGGGTTTGACGTCGCGGTGGATGACGCCGTGCTTTTCCTTCAGGTAGTAGAGCGCCTTCACGATCTGCAGCATGCGCAGGAGAAGGTGCCCGTGATGGGGGGACAGGGACGAAGGCTGCCAACCCGGTCGCCCGCACCCCTGCCTGGCTGCTCACCGCCACCGTCATCTTGCCCAGAATCCGCTCGGGAATGGGGCCCTGCATCCGCTTCTTGAGCTTCTCGGCACACGTGCCCATGAGCTCCATGGCGATGAAGACGTCCGTCTGCGGGGGAAGGGGTGGCACGCGCGGCTTGGGGTGACTGCGCCTTCCTGCCCACCCCAGACATGGGCTCCTTTCCCGGGGCCAGGACGGAAGGGGGCGGGGCAGGCGCCGCTCACGTTGGTGATGAAGGTCCCGAAGCACTGCACGATGTAGGGACAGTCATGGCTCTTGAGCACCACGTCCAGGTCCATGAGGATGCGCTTGTTCTCCTCCTTGTTCCCCGAGCGCCGCATTTGCTGCAGGGGAGGGACCACAAGGAGGGAGCCTCAGGGCGGGGCCCACGGGGTCGGGGCCCACGGGGGGCGGGGCCCGGGCTCACCTTGACGGCGATGACATGCCCCGTCTTTCGGAAGCGCATC